GAGTTCAAGGATCCACTGATATGTTGTGACATGTTACACACTGACAAGCGACAAACTCTGGAATACAACACAAAACAACTATAACATGGTAACAAATATTGTTACATGGAGTCATCATATAAGTTTCAGTGCTTCCTAGGATCATCCAAGTTTAGTAATTGATACTATAAGTGTGTTAGCACTTCACAACAGAAGAATTATCACCAAGTTCAGTAAACAAAACCTTGAAGTTTCTGGTTTACAAAAGCATGGACAGCATGGCCCTTGGACTCCACTATCAGAATTGGTTGGTTTCCACCATCTAGAAATCCTTCACTTTCATCTATATAGAGACTGCAATTTGATAAATGTTTTTGAAGTTGTATTAGCAGGTCAGCATAAGCATAAAAACAGAGAATAAAGAAGAATGAAGATCAAATTTTCACCATAGACGCACATACATAAAACACATTTAAAATTCGAGACACAATTGTCCAACAGATCAAACAAAGTAATGCAGAATAGAAAAATCACCATTACATTTATGAACAGACTACAGACTTTAGAGATTCCTATTTAAATAGCAGAATGATCTCTTGATACCACACAGAACCATCAACCTGTTGTACAAATTATACTTTCCAATATCCATGTGCAATTATATTGTGTGTGTGTGTGTATGTGTTTTTGGATTTCAGTCAATATGTGTATGCTTATGCGTACATGAAAGTGCACGTGGTACATACATGTATTCATATGCATGTGTACACGTATAATTTCCAATATCTATCTTCATGTATATGTACGTGTGCACGCGCGAGTCTAGTCTGTGTGCATGTGTTTGGATTTCAGTTCATGCATGTGTATGCATATGCGTACATGAAAGTGTATGTATATGCATAGTTGCATACACGTTTTAATATCCATAGGTGTACATGTACACATGTGTATGCATATGTGAATATGTATTTGTATTTGTATATGTGTTATATTATGTATGCAATAATAGGAAGCACAGGAGCGAAACACTAACACAGACTAAAGGAAATGAAAGATAGTCATTAGAATACTTTGTCGGATGAAATCTGGCTCTGGTTTCTAAGACTGAATCTAACCTTGTTGTGTACCAAAGATAGTCAGTAGAGTCCTTTGTCGTGTTAATATGATCAACAAATCCATTTTTGACAAAGTCTGGTTCCCCCCAGACTCCAGCCTTCTCCATAAAAATTTCCCACTGGATTTCTCTTGAATGTTTCTGTGGAAACGTCACTGATGCTTCCAAACTTGCAGGAAGCATATCTACAATAGATTTTTGAGATCGAACCTGGAGAAAGTTTGGCCCCATTAGTATCCATAAAAAAAGAATATGCGAGACTAGAATTCTAAAGCCTGTGAATGACAATTATTATAATCTCCAAGAATCCTTTGTCATATTGTAAACACAAAAAAGTGAAACTACATATATTTATGAACTTGGCATCTTTTATGCTCATGATTTACTGTGCATATCAAGAATGAAATCCTGACACAGAATTCTGTTTTTTGGGTCTAGATAGGATCTCCAAAGTTAAGCCATTGAACCAATATATCGCATTTAAACCCAAGGAATGGTGACACTCAAATTTTGGTTAATGTATTCCTACGTACCAAACCAATCAGTATGTCAAACTACATAAGGTCTCTATTGAGGTTAATTTCAAAGGATTTCAAAAAGACTCAGTTACCCTACCCGAATAGATCAGGTGGTTTATTTTTAATGCATTTGTATTAGTACCAGGACACATCTATGATCTAACAGTAGTGACCTTTAATGGCTTAATTTGTACAGATCACTAACAAGATTGTGACACAGTACCCTGTCATTAAACCAAATATTCAAATAGAAAATGTTTGTTTTAGATTTTGAGTTCAATTTTCATTCATTCCAGTTAAACATACACTGATACACTCTCATTCATGTCATTGTGAGTAATGGAAATGGTACACTTTGCTAATAGTCTCAGGGTTACAGATTTGAAGATAATTCATGATACTTTGAACTTTGTTAATGCCACAATAAAGGTCCATTGTACAATAATGACAGAGAGACAAGCACAAGAGAGAGTCGAAACCTTTGCAGTATTAAATGCAACATTCTTGCAGTCTGGCAGAATGCTAACTGACCAAGCTGGAAGATGATATGATTTGTTCTGGAAAACAATCACTGTATCATTTACATCATCCATATTAGCCAGGAATGCTGCACATGCTCCTGTGGAATCTGAGTAAACATTTGCCTGCACAAGAAAGAACCCATTAATATTAAAATCATCATATCAAACCCGAATTGGTAAATATATTTTATTTCGCACGTTGGGTTCCTAATTACCAAATCTATAACATTTTCCCTTCTAGATTCTTTTTTTGTTGAAAAGAATAATTTGAAGCTGCTACATGAAAGAGAAATATGCTCAAGTTTCCGACCAGCAAACTATCCAGAATTTATGGTTGAATCAATAGCCTGAATTTATGCTTCATAGCCCGAACGATTTGATGAGAGAAGGCAATGCTAGTTGCCTGGGTGACCGTGGTAGCAGTGATGATGACACATCAACTCTGGATTTATGATCCAAATAACTGTGCTCTCAGATGTATCAATGATTGCTAGGTGAAGGTGAATCTGGAATATTCTTAGAGAGAGTAATAGCTCGCCATGTTTAAGATTTTGTATACATAACATGTAAAAATCCTAATTGTGTGAAATGACATTAATCCTTATTGTATCCTACAAAGAGTCATGATATCAGGAACTATACTGCACCTCTTGTTGAGGACCAATTGTTAGAAGAGTTGTCTCTCCATGGAGCAAAGGATGCTCACATAGTGTAATAGCTGTATGCAGGTCTTTCAGATGTGCCCATTTCGGAAGCCTTGGCAACCCTGAAAAACCATTAAAATTACTGAAAACAAAAACGGAAGCGTCGAACTGCTGAAAATATGTGCTTTTTATATAGATAAACTTAAACTTTTGCTATTGAGAAAAAAGTAGAGCTGTATAACTCCAGAAGCAGAAAGTATCACACCATATTCATCAATGGGTGCATCATAATCATAACTTGTTGTGATGAATGGTCCCCCAGATGTGCGGCCAAAGTTTGTTCCTCCATGATACTTCAAGAGGAAAAAATAGATTGTCAGTGTAAATAGCACAAGTTCTTAATGGAAAAAAGAATTAACCCAAACATGACACTCCTGGTTATCGTTCATTCTCCCTTTTTTGTCTTTAAATTGATTATCATTCAGACATACCATGTAGTAGTTTTGAAGACTCCCGCCTTTCTGGAAAAAACGGGCAACAGCAAAAGCAATATCCTCAGGTGGTCTGTGAGGATTTGGGGCCCCAAAAGTTTGAAACCTAGCAGAAGCAAAGGAACCTCATAAGAAAAGAACAATTTTACACTAATTATTGCGACAACAATGGACATCAAGCAAC